CAGCGACATGACGGCATACCAGCGTGGTCCCATCTGTCATGTTATAGTTTATTTTTGTTTATAATAAAAATTAGACAGACGTAGCAGAAATTTAAGTATAATCCTGACGATGACCAATACATTGTATGTTCTTTTTTACTCATGCATTTCCATTTCATTCTGTAACGCAATTTACCATTGTTTCAATAAAAGAAAGAATTTAAAATAATTTTTTTTTTAACCCACTATTTAGAGTTCTGGCCTCCCCTTGCTCCCTTAAAAAGCTAGAAAACTTACCAGACGCAGGTCTGTCTTGATGATCTCAATAACACTGTGCAGCAATGACCCAAGAAGCACCTCTAGTGGCTATCTGAGGAGTGGCCAGTGGAGGTATCCCTAGGCTGTAATGTAAACACTCTCTGCTTTCGCTACACAAACACTGAATCCAGATACAGATACTGCACCAACTATATACACATACACACACTGCTTCCAGGGCCGGCACCCAGAATAGACCTGTCACAGGGGGCCCAGGAGGTGGCTATCTGGTCACCTCAGGGCACCCCCTAATTTGTCCTTCCATATGGCAGAGCAGGCACCTTGACAGGTGCCTGCTCTGCCATCAAATCCTGGTGTCCAGGAGAATGCAGGCGGCGAGGGAGGCTGTTCTTGTAGTCTCTCATTCCTCGTGTGCCCTCTGTGATGCCGGGAGCGGGAATATGATATCATTCCGGCCCCAGCATACTAAACAGCGGCGAGAGGAGTGAGGAGTTGCCTCACACTGGACCCTAGGGAGGTGAGTGTCTACCAGTAAGTGAATGTCTCACTGAGTGAGTGTGTGTCAGTGAATGAGTATGTCTGTAAGTGAGTTTGTGTGTGTGTGTCAGCGTGTGTCTGTCAGTGAGTGAGATGAAGGGGCGGCAAAATGAATCTTTGCCTACGGCGGCAGAAATCCTTGCACCGGCCCGGATTGCTTCCACTACACAAATACAGACACTGCAAACACTACCCACCACACAAACATACAATGCATTAATTATACACACTGAATACAATACACACACTGCATAACATAATGGATGTGCGCAAGGTTTTGGTGGAGGAGGGGCAGCATTTCACTCACACTCTCATACTGACACCCAACCCTGCCACACTCATCTTCCATCACTCTGTTACACTAACCCCCCTTTCGCCATGCCACACTCACCCTATCACATTAACCACCGCAATCCTGTCACACTCCCTCATCCAACAATGTCATACTCACCCCCCAACCCTGTCGCACTTGCTCTGTCACACTCACTGCCCAACCCTGCCTAGTTCACACCTCTGGTCCTGTCACACTCTCCTGAAAACAATCATCATATAAACACAGTGTAGCGTTTATACCCAACACACAGAATGAAAATTCTCCAGGAAAATAGAGAGATAAAAAGGTCCCCGAACCAGTCCTAAGAGTGGATAGAATGGATAGATAGAATAAATACAAGGAGAAAGGAACGTCAGAACAAACCAAGGTCAAAGGAAGTCATAAAATTACAAATATGAGCGACAGAGCCAAGTCAAGGGAACCAGAAAAACTGAGTAGTCAAGAGAAAGCCAGGTTAATACCAAAATACAATAAACAGACAAAGGAACGCACTACTGTGACACTAGAAACTCTAGGAACCACAACAGGGCACTGTGCCTTGGGCAGACCGAGATTTCATATGTTTGGGGGTGTGGTTAGGACGTGAGAGTGCGATGAACTTTGATGCTTAAAGCTCCCCTGATGTTATAATGCCAAGAAGCATGCGCCGCGTCATAAAAAGGGGCGCCCGGCGTCCATGAAGCTAACCGGAGCTTCAAGCTGCATTGGAGTGGTGGTCCGCTGGATCAGGGTAATAGATGATCAGTGGACCACTAAGGTAAGTATAGGAGAGCTTACATTACTCACCCTCTGAGGACCGCCCACCGGGTGAAAACCACCAGGGCGATCATGAAAGCAAAAATGGAAAGCTCGGAGCACACGGGGAGCATGGACGTCATCCACCGCCACCCATGATCTTTCCTTCAGGACCATAACTTTTACAATGAATAAAATATTGAAGAATTCCACTGGAGATTTGGGAATCTCATGCAGCGTAGTAGCGTCGGTCTGCAGGATCATAGCAACAGCTGATCGGCGGACCACCAAGTTAAGTATAGGAGAGCTTACACGCAGTCATGAAACATCGCTCGCCATAAACACAATGCATAAAGGCCACAGGCAGTCCCCAATACACAGAACACACTGTAAGCAGTTATCCTACACACATACAGTTGCAAGAAAAAGTATGTGAACCCTTTGGAATGATATGGATTTCTGCACAAATTAGTCATAAAATGTGATCTGATCATCATCTAAGTCACAACAATAGACAATCACAGTCTGCTTAAACTAATAACACACAAAGAATTAAATGTTGCTATGTTTTTATTGAACACACCATGCAAACATTCACAGTGCAGGTGGAAAAAGTATGTGAATCCCTAGACCAATGACATCTCCAAGAGCTAATTGGATGTCAGCCAACTGGAGTCCAATCAATGAGATGAGATTGGAGGTGTTTGCTACACCTGCCCTTCCCTATAATTAAAAAAAAAAAAAAAAAAACACCAGTTCTGGGTTTGTTTTTCAAGAAGCATTGCCTGATGTGAATGATGCCTCGCACAAAAGAGCTCTCAGAAAACCTGTGGTTGTCTATTGTTGTGACTTAGATCATCAGATCACGTTTTATGACCAATTTGTGCAGAAATCCATATCATTCCAAAGAGTTCACATACGTTTTCTTGCAACTGTATGGCCCTAGATACAAACATACACAGTCACAGAGACATACATTCAAACACAAGGATACTCACTGTCAAACACTTACAGTGGTATTTATTAATGGGCACACTGACTGATATTTAATAACAGGCAAACTTAATGTGCCGTTTATAACTGACTGTGGCATGTTTTGTGGGGAAAATTGGCAAAAGGTAAGTTTTGTGTGTTGTTAAATAGCAACTGTATCAAGCCTGTGGAGCAATGTGGCAATTGACAGGAGTTAAAGTGACACATAAGTGCTGTGGGGGTAGTGTGAATGTGGCAAGTGCTGTGGGGGCAGTGTGCTGGTGCATGGTGACCCAGTGGCCATATTTTTTTTGCCTGTGGTGTGCCTCAGAATTTTGGGGAAGAGCTTTGGTGCGCCTTTGGTGAGAAAAGATTGAGGTGCACAGAGACAGAGAAACTAAACTTCATTACAGACAGCAAGCAGTCAGTGGCTGCTAACTGTTTAGTAGACATGCCCATACCCACAGCAGGTAGGGGTATGAGAAGTATGAAACCTCCCTTATTTACCAATACTAAATATTTGTATTTATTGTTTTACTTCGCAAAGTTTGCTGAAAAACTAAAAAGTTAGAGCTTTCCATTATTTTGATATCTCAGTTTCTTACTTAGTAGATAGCTCCCTAATCCTTATATAGGATTTCCATAAGCATAGTAGATAAAAGGAGATATCTACTAAACCATTCCTTAATTTGGCACTTAAATAAGGCAAGATGCAGAAGTCAATCGCGGAATTTTATCAGTCTGAATGAAAATGGCCGAAAATAATCTGAAAAAAATTTATGAAATTTGCTTCTGTAAAAACAAATTTTTATTCGTCAGAATGTATTCGGATAAAACTAAAAATGTAAGCTGCGCAGAAGTCTAGTAAAAAGTGTTGAAACCACTTTCTATATTTACTCTAAATATATACTTTGGGGGCAATTTTGCTTTCTGTGATGGCTTTTACACTGACAAGACACATACCAATTCTAAAAAAATTTCCACATTGAAATTACATTTTTTTCCCCCATATATTTTGTGACCTGTAACTAACAAAAATAAACTCAAATCCTAGACATCTGTAGCGGAGCCTTAGTTCTGGGAGGCAGGGACTTTTCTCCGCTGGTTTATCAAGAGTAGAAATCGCCCAGTAAATAGCCCACCTCCTCTCCAGTAACTGGACGAGACACAGTTCTGGGAGTATAACTGAAGTTTATTCTGCCATACACTGCTTTTATGCATTGCCCCTAGCATGGGGGTTCCAAATCAAGAACAGAAGGGTTTTTTTTTTTTCCCCAAGAGCCTTTGGTGTTTGAGCTCAAATTAGGATAACTCAATTATCTCTCAAATACAGAAACTTATATATTTAACACACCCCAAAAATAATAGAATACAGGAACCCCACCAAATAGCCCTGATCTGAGTGCACAACATATCCAAAAGGTGGACGGATTTATTTCTAATTACACCTGAACTACTCAACAAAAGTCTCCAACTCCAATTTGAGAAAATAAAAATTCAAATGAACAAGATCTAAAAAGACATCTCACAAATTACACAAAGAAATTTAAATACTTTACCAATTTGAAGCTAATTTTGCTTACTTTTTTTTGCAGGAGGGTGGCTGATGGGAGTTGGCGTGTCTCCCTTGGCCTGGCTCTCTTCCCTGCCACGCGGATGGAGCTGGGAGGAAGTGACCATCCGCCGTGATTTTTTTTTATTTTAAAAGGGGCCCGGTCGCGCTATTGCAGGCCGTAGCACTGACTGGGCTGGATTCGGCCCGTAGGCCGTAGTTTGAGGACCCCCTGCTTTAAAATATACATGGAACACAAATTTATAATAATTACAAAAGAAGTCTTTACAGCACTGATTTTAGAATAAATTATAGTCCCAAAGATAGTCACAGATTGACTTAAAGAAATTAAAAATTTAAAAAAAAAAAAAATTGATTTTAAACAATTTATTTTCTGCTCGTCACAACTCGGAAATACACAAAAATCACTAGATATATTTGCTACTACAACATGAAGGTTAAGGCTGTGAAGACAAGCACTTTTGATAAAGTTGATGTGTTAAGCACGGCACTTTTATCAGATTACAGTTTGAAACATATAGACCAAATATACCATTATCACAAAATAAGATATCTGCAGCTTCCCCCCCTAATTGGGCTGCTAATGTGTGCCATAATTCTAGCCATAAGTAATGCAAGGAAACTGGACTTTTGTAATTTGGAAGATCTAAATACATGCATTTTGCTCTTGGAGAGAAAAAACAAAACACTGCTCCACTCATTGCGTGTTGAAGTGTTACTTAAATCCATATCTGGAAGATTTTTTTTGCTGGTTGAGGAGAAAAATTCAGGAAGACCCTATTTTCAGTTCTTTTATTTCTTCGTAGTCTCTTCCTCTGCTTCACAAAAAAGAAAAAAAAAAAAAAATCCACAAACAGCGAACTACATGCAAACTATTGTCAACATTTGCTTGCAGTTAGCAGCAGGCAGTTAAGTGAGAATGCCGTTTTGAGAGGAAAATGGAAAGTATCAGTTTTATCACTAATTGAGAGCGGGTTATAAGGAAGAGTAATAGTCAATTATTCTCCCATAAATCAGATTATACCCTGTAAACAGTGGGTAATAAAGTAGATGCATATATTTAAAAATCACCTGGCCAGAGGTGGTGATTTACAGAAATCCAGTTTCCTGGACTTCACCAGATCGAAGTCTAGGAATCACATGTATAGCTCATATCAGTCTTATTGGCTCAAACGTATTTACATATTTGCCCTAAGGGGATTTTTCCATTAAGACCTGGAGTATTCACTTTGAGATTAAAACCCCCTCGGCACAGACCCCTAAAACTACATTGTTACAAACCACAACCTTGTCACCAACATTGTGTTATAGATCTCTAGGGACTACTTGCTCATCACCTACAGTACCCCTGTAGACTTTACTGAGAGATGGTACCTTCACTCATGAAAGTCGAGAGATTTAAGTAGCTCCACAATAGGAGACCTCACTTTGCTGGGGAAAATGCTTCCCATTAACTTTGCTCTAGTAAAGGCATATTTAGGGATTTGTTATGTGGCACTCTTACCAGAAAGGGTTCTTGAGCAGTTTAACCTCAAAGCTGTTTCCACCTGCAATCTCAGTAAAACTTTTCCAAACCAGTTTTGTGAATGGGAAGTCACCGATTGGTTTGATAGCTGTCATTGTGCAATGGTACTCTATGCTTCCTGAAAACGACAGCTGAGATACCACCTGAAGGCAACTTTGGGTTTAAACTCCAAGAGTGTCCACATGGGCCTCCTGGCACCATAATTTAATTTTGATGCCTGGAGCTTCCCTTTACTATACAGAACTTTGCTTCAAAATGTGGAACACTTGGACCAAAAAAAAAGAAAAAAACCCCCACAAACACATGGTTCCCTAAACCATTTTAGCTTGCCAAAATGCTTGGTGTGTAGGAGTCCTCTTTCACTTTACAAAGAGTTAAAGTTTAAATAGAAATTGACACTTTTATAAATCTAGTTACCTGCCCCCCTTCCCCCAAAGCTGTCAGACAACAGGTCCGATTAGCTTCACTTAGTGAAACAAAGCAGGAAGTAAACTGAGAGGCAGCAGTTGCACAGAGCACCTGCCTCACCAAGACTGATCATTGTGTTGCATTGGGAAGTTCTGAATATGCAGAGGAAGCAGAACTGTGGCATTTGAAAACAATTTAGTCATACCTCCAATGCATTGGGGGTGGGGGACAGGACAACCCACAACATTTTAATTTGTGCTATGTCAACTAAACACAGTGTTTAGAGTTTGTATTTGAGCAGTGGAGTACAACTTGAAGTTGGTACTTTCAGATCTTTAAATTAGCTTTGGTACACCTCCCTGTCAGCAGAGTTTAAAAAAGGATCAGTTCACACAAAAAGATTTTAAAGTTTATTAAAAACTCATTTACAAAGAAAAGAAAATAAAAAGTTACAAACATTGAACCGGAACAGTCCTGTGATGCACAGAAAAACTTTACATTGATGTGTACGCAAAGCAGGTCTCAAGGTCTTGTTGGCCTCATTCCTGGTGGTGGGGGTCCTGTAAAATACATACATTACATTCAGATAAGGTTGAGATTTGTTAGAAACAATTTATAAGAGTAGTTTTAATAATTTCAGGATTGTCAATCCAGTAAATGTAAAATTTTATACTAAACATAAAAGCAATTATCCCCTTAATGATAGAGGCAGTTGTAAGTTCAGGTCAAAACAAGACACTGAATTTGCGCAATACATCTGTTCAATCATAATTCACCTCTTTCCTATTAAGTGCACTCACATGTATTCTAGATTATTTTGCTCAGGAGAAACATGGCTTTCATGTCATATCATAATTTATGAAAATATAAGAGTGAAAAATTTAAAGAGTTTTAGTTCTGCATGGCTTAACTGTCAATACTGCAATAAAGTACAGATTTGTATTCAGCAATGTCTCATGAGAACAGTACTCCCATGAACAGGTTTTATGGTGTTGGCGTGTTACAGGGTCAACTATAGCACATTACATTTTTCAGTTTATACACCTTAAACATTTGCTAGACTGATTATGTTGCCTTTGAGAGCAAATGGTAGCCCAGAAATCAAAGTTAACAACCCAAGGTATTACAAATGGGGTATGTCCAATCTTCTACTAGCCACTTAGTCACAAGCCTAGGCCAAAGTTTGTGTTCATTTTAGTGTGAAAAAAAATTTGAATGCTAAATTTTGTCCAGTGTTTGACCGACTAAAAAAGACTGGACATACCCTATTTGCAATACCTTTGGTGGTCTTTTGCAAATGGTATTCCATTCTCAGAGTAATTCTCATTCCTAGGCAGTCATATGGTCTCAAAAGCAACATAACCAAATCTAGCAATTTTCAGTGTAAAAAGACTGAAATGCAAGCCTTATACCAGACTAACTTTCCAAACCACCCTAAAACCTGTACATGGGGAGGGGGAAACAGTTTTACTTGGGAGACCTTGCTGAACACAAATAGGGTTTTCAAAAACAATAAAAAAATTATATCGTCTGAGAGTGCCGTTTGGGTGTGCGATAAAAATAAAATAGCGCACACAGACATTGTTGTGATGTTTTACAGTTTTGAGACACGTGTGTTCAGCAAATTCCGAGTAATAGTATAACCCATGTACTGGTTTTATGGGGGTCTTTGAAAGTTAGAGGGCTTGTGAACCAGATTCTTTGGGTTGTCAGGCAAGTCCCTCCAACTAATGAAATGTTAAGTTACATAAATATGTAGAGTTTAAACATTTTATAATGTCATTCTAATTTTATTTGGATTTGCATATGTATATTGATATCGCAATATTGTTGGAACAAAATTAAACAGTTAAGAGTTTAAAATATTGTTTATTTTTCTCAATTGAATTATACATGAACTATTCTATGCATAAATAGTAAAATACACTTAATGATGTATGTGTGCATATTAAATACTTAGTTAAACAGTTTGATACTTTGATCATATGTGTGATCTAACAATCCTTAAGGGGGTGAAGGATAAACGTGCCGCAACTGGAACAATTTGTTCTCAGAAGTTACTGTGTAGTTAATGCTTTCACCATAAAAAAAAAATCCCGTTAGTCACATTACCATAAAGTGATACTTACCCCTCATGCCAGGTGGTGGAGGCCTCATACCAGGGGGTGGCATTCCCATTGGTCCTCCTCTGCCTGGAGGCATACCCATGGGCGGGCCCATTGGTGGTCTCATGCCTGGTGGTGGTCCCATCATACCTTGATGTGATAGAGTTTTTGTAAATGACAACATTCATGAACAAAACAAAACACAGAAGTGTCAAATGGACCTCAGGGTAATCCTGCAAGTTCATCAAATAAATCAGGCAAGCACACTGTCATCACGGGTCCACATTTTATTGGAACGTTAAAGCTTTGTTTCTTCTTACCTGGAGGTGGTGCTCCTCTTCCCATGGGAGGTGGGGGCCCTCCACGACCACCTGGAGTATATTGTGTTGGAGCACCCGCAATACTAGCTGTAGCTGCTGCAGCAGCGGCAGCAACGTTTCCACGGCTCTGAGGAGTCATCACCTGATAGAGGAAGAAGGCCATCAAACTATTAATGTGCAATGTTGACATACATGACACTGTCAGAACTTTTAGATCACACTAAGACTCATTTGTAGAGCTCTATGTATCTCATATACAGAATACTTAATGCAGTAACCCCATACCATTAGACTGACTTTGGTTTAGTTCACCCAAAATTTCTATGCTACTAGATATCAAAAAGCTTGATTTACCTGTTGCGAAGGTCCTCCCACACCACGGACAGGTCCTGCCAATCCAGCTGGTGCTTGAGGCATAGGAGCACCAGCAGGCACACCTCTCCCAGCTGCTCTGCCTACACCAGGTCCACCTGCAGCTCCTGCAAGTGGTACTCTTGCAATGCCAGTCTATTAAAAAAAAAAAAAAAAAAAAGAAGACAAAATTAAGTCAGCTTTAATTTCTTGGCTTTTGAAGCTTTAGTAAAGAGCAAGGGAAACTTAAGTCACCCAGACCACTTCAGCGTCCCTGTCCTCCTTAGTCCTGCAATGCACGTTCCAGTTTGAGAAAGCAAGCAAATTCATTATAAGGATACACTATGATTTATTGCCTTGTGAGCATTTTCTGACACTCATTTTATTAATAAAGTATCGCCAGCAAATGCCTTAGCACTGTACAGTGGGATAGCAAGTTAATTTTAAGTCTACCAGCTAGAAACCAGAAGGCTTCAGCTTTTCAGGCAAGGTTACTGCAAAATGCTAACAAATTTAGTTTTGATACATACGTCTTTTGGTGGGGGTCCTTCTACAGTCATGGATACCAAGTTTTCTCCACGTAGTAAAACCAGTCCAAGAACCCTTTTCTCTTCACGTTCTGGCTGTTTAGAGTTCTTGGGCCTGAAAAATAAAGTTTGAGATTCAAGAACTTTGTGTAGAAGGAAAGACAGGGCAAAGAAACAGGTGGGACTGTGCCATAAGTTACTAATGTTGTACACAGCCTCTTTATAGGCCAAGACGCTTCACTGCCTTGGGTCTTTTTTCATATAGTGCATAACTTTATGACATTCAAACCCCTGTTTAAAATGTACAGTTTGTCTCTTTAAATTCCCTTATTGCACAACTCTGAAAAATTAAAAGGGATTTTAGTTAACCTTCAGATACTTACTTAATCTTTCTAAATTCATCACAATCACATAAGATGAGGTTCATGTGTTTGTCAAAAGCTTTAAAGGTTCCAATAAAGATGCGTCCATCTTGTAGGATACAGCGCATCCTGAAGTCAATGTGCTGCAGCATCTTGCTGCTTTTTCCCACCGTCTGAAAGATAATCAGATTTCAATGATTAAACAAAGATCAGCCTAAATACACATATTATACGACATAAAATGAACATTACAAGTTACATTTCACTGGACTAACAAGTCCACATCACAAAGTAGTCCCCATACAGACGTGTCAGTACTTTTCCCAGGGTTTACTTAAAGGGACTCTCCAGTGCCCGGAAAACAATCCTTTTTCCTGGCACTGCAGGTCCCCACTCCCTCCCACCTCCCAACTGCTGAAGGGGTGAAAACCCCTTCAGTCACTTACCTGAGACCCCCCGCCAGTGTCCCTCGGCGGTGGTTTCAGGCCGCCACCGCTCCTCCTTATGTCGGCCGGTGGGAGAGACTGATCCTGCCCGTGGAGACCCAAGGCGCATGCGTGGCAATGCTGCACATGCACATTAGAGATCTCCATTGAAAAGCATCGAAATTGCTTTTCAATGCTAACCTTTGGGGAATTGAGCGACGCTGGAGGTCCTCACAATAGTTACACTTTCAGTGTTAAGGTTAGTGGGAGTTGGCACCCAGACCTCTCCAATGGGCAGAAGTGGTCTGGGTGCCTGGAGTGTCCCTTTAAAAGGAACACAAACATGGAAACCTGACACTATAGTGTTAAAAACTATATTCAGGGACCCAGCCCCCTTAAATAGGATACAAACATACCTTTATAACAGCGCCGGCTCCACCCCACCTACTTGGTGGACATCAGAATGGATGATCTGAGTCAAGATGCATGGCGCAGATCCAAACACTCTGGCCAATCAGCATCTTCTCATTCATTGAAATCAGCACATCTCCATTATAAAGAGGTTCAGCATCTCCATGCTGTGCAAGGAGACACTGAATGTCAGTTGTGCAGCACTCAGCCAGAAGGCACCTCTAGAGGCCATCTGAGTGACTGCCACTGGAGGTGTCCATAGGGAGCAGTGTAAACACTGCCTTCTCTTTTGTAGAAGTTACAGCAAAAAGACCTGAAAGGACATACTATACGCACAAGAACAACTACATTACGCGGTAGTTCTGATGACTATAGTGTCCCTTTAAAAAAAAGGAACGGTCCAATCATGACCACTCAAAAGCACTGTAGCTGTCCTGACACAAGGAGTGCCCCAGCCTGTTGCAAACCAGCAAAATGGTGTCCACTCCCCAGCTCTACAACCACTGCAGAATTACAATTTCTGGCTTCAAAAAAAAAAAAAAAAAATTGGAAGTGTGTGGCAGGGAGAACTCTAATTACACTGCTTAGAAGTTATAGCTCAAGCTCAGTATACGCAGTGTGGACAGAAACTCATGTCAGACACCAACATATACAAGACTGAACACTTGCAGCAGTAAGGTAAAGCATAGGATACAATTTAGATTTTTTTATGGGGGGGGGGGAAGGAGGAAGCGGAAGAGACCTAAGGCAGTGTATCACAATAAGCTACCACTTGATCAACATGATGAGAAGTGTGTTAGCTTCTAGTTCTCCATAACCAGCCATACACAGAACAGCAACAAAGATCTCCATACTATACATCAAATTCAGGTACTTACACCTTCACCTATTCACCTGAATTTTAATATGTTTAAAAATATTTGTCTATATGCCACTGGCTACTCATGCCCTACATTTTAGCATGTCTAATAAACATTAGTTGATAGATACAGTGAGCTAATAGCCTCCACTTATCTTCGTGTTGGTAAATCAATTTTTAACCCAGAGATCACTAGAAATCAGAGATAATAAATGGTTTTAAAGACAGGGCTAAGTCTCCCCAACTCCCCTGATATCCCACACCTGCTCCTGCTCGTAGGCCAGCCAGGCCGTGTATATAGGCTTTGTTTATCACATACACAGAACATGCATTCTGGAGGGAATCCATGGTCATTGCAACACTGCCCTCTAAGCTGAATTCCTAAACATGGAATAACCCCAGACAACAAATACAGGCTGCCCAACAACAAGCACAACCCCCACAAACAATCCCCCCATCACTTACCATGGCTGCACCGAGGATGCTGCGGATACACAGCCGATTCGGGAAACAAAAAAATTGCGCCTGGGAGATTCACTCCAGCGGCGGCCTAAATACCGGAAGAGCTGGTCTGAACCGGAACTAGTTAATTAAAGGTAAAAGCATCCGAGACGAGACTTTCTTGGTTTCGTCTCGTTTTTAGAGGCAGTGACCTCTGCAGGTCGGAAAGCGGAACTGCATCCAAATGGCTTTAAAAAAAAAAAAAAACTCTGTCGTTGTGTAAAAGCAACACCTAAAGGTGTGATGTACATAAAGGGGAAACAGTTACATCACTTCTCTGAAATAAAACACAATCAAATAAAACATTGAGATTTGCATGTCACTAGTCTTGTCCAATTTTCATGTGATGCTCCCCTTTTCTTTTTTTTTTTGTTAATTAAATATGTATTAAAGATTTACAGGGTTATCCATTAAAATGTGAATTCAAAGTGAATTTCAAATGTAAAGTAAAATAATCAGATTGAAAAAATTCTCTAAATTAGCTATGTTTCTGGTTTGGCTACTTTGGCCTTAAAGTGGCTGACAGCCACTAGAGGCCGCATCTGCGATTTACACTGAGTAAATCGCACTTATGTGACGCTGGACGTCTTCACGGAGTCCAGGGTCAGATAAGATCCCCATAGGAAAGCATTGAGGAATGCTTTCCTATGGGCGGGATTGACTGCTCGTGCGCCTCTGGCCGCGCATGTGTGTTCGGATCCACTTGGGAGCTGACGTCGGTGGAGGGGAGAGGTCACCAGCGCCGAGGGAGCCCGGCGCTAGATTAAGGCAAGTGGCTGAAAGGGTTTTAACCCCATTCAGCCCCGCGGGATGGGCGCCCCGAGGGAGGGAGGCAAAGGTTTAAAAATAATATCAGGAAGTATTACTTTACTGAGAGGGTAGTGGATGCATGGAATAGCCTTCCAGCTGAAGTGGTAGAGGTTAACACAGTAAAGGAGTTTAAGCATGCGTGGGATAGGCATAAGGCTATCCTAACTATAAGATAAGGCCAGGGACTAATGAAAGTATTTTAAAAAATTGGGCAGACTAGATGGGCCGAATGGTTCTTATCTGCCGTCACATTCTATTTTCTATGTTTCTAAGAGCCTATAGTGCCAGGAAAACGGGTTTGTTTTCTTGGCACTATAGGATCCCTTTAATTTTGAAATTCTCTTTGAATTCACTTTGAATTCTCATTTTAGTGAATAACCCTGTTAGTAATTGCCATCAAAATCCAGTTTAGTTCATGCATCAGAAATAATGTGGTGAAAATTGCCGCATTTGCTTTCTCTTTTTCGAGTAAACTGTTACTCCACCTTTGTACATCAATGAATATTTTTCTGCTTTTCTTTGATGCTCTAAAATGAACCATCCTTCGAAATCAGAAGCAGTGGATTGGACTAAATTGAAAGTGACGTCAGTTTGGATTCTGACATCGACAGAACCTATAGTCCCAATAACTATTGCTTGTTATTGTTGTTGTGTTAGTGCTTTATTTATTTGTAAGACATACTGTACACCTGACTGGAAACAATATCGTGTTTCACAAGTAGTTTTTTAATACGTATCGCACCTATAATAGATCTTGCAACATTGTTTTTTAAATAATTAAAGGCCATAAATTATGAAGGGCTAAATAATATAATGGATATGGTGTTTTCCTAAATAAAAGGATATTTTTTTCTTCACACTTATCGTGCAAATACTTTGTTATTGTTTTATGTTTTTAATTGTGCTCATGTGTGTCAGGCATAATTATAAGGGAGTCACCTGCATTTTTCAAAAGCATTTCCTTTAGAGCAAGCAGTGTGAGCCACAAAATGTGTTGAGGTTTATTGCACTATTCATTGCTGTCAATATATGGTACTCAACATCTTTTTAAAGAGATTAACTCACAATTGTAACAACTGACAGTGACGTTGTCAGAATGTACATAACTAAAACCGTCTGAATAGTACCAATAAAGTAATGAAGTAGGGAGAGATCAGAGGTCTGTTGTGCAAATATATTCCTAGCAACCAATTCGAATTTTACAATTCTCTGTCTAGTGTTTCATTAAATTCTCCTTTGTAAACTGGGTAAGAAAATAATTGTATGACAAGAATTACTATATAAGGACCATACCTGTTGCTTGTCCCACAACGACCACATAACCTGCCCAAAGTGAGCCTTACCCACCCTGCACATTCCGTAACACTCTGGCCTCTCAGCTTAACTATACAGGGTGACTCCGGAGGCTCATGAGAGGGGGGCAGCCTACTTGGTAGATGGGAAACCTAACCAGAACTGGGGGCTGAGGGAACCGGGAGTGAAATTTTGCTTATGTATTACCCTTTAAAGTTTGCAGTTACTGTATTGCTGTTTACCGCGTTTTATAACAATTGTTATTCTGAGGCACTGACGCATTATACCTACACACAGGCCCATCAGACATATTCTCAACTGGCGAGGAGTACAACACAGACCCAAAATCTAGAGCCGCCCAGAGGAACGGAGAGGCTCCGTCTGGTTAGATTTTTACACAACAGTTACCGACTCCGACTGACATAGACACGGTGCAGATCTGGACCGCGGGTACTTACCTCCTGGGCCTCCTTCTATTTCCCCATAGGACCTAGTTAGGTGAGAGGACCAGTGGATCAAAGATGGTTCCGGGTTTTACTTCTCCCTGCCGCTAACCACTATACACACCACACCCTCATTGTTTTGCTGACTAGCTTTCCCATCCCCCCCATGCCCTTCCCTTACACAAAAACCCTGCCCCTATGGCTGCCCTCCCCACACCCTCACACCACCCCAGACGTGAACAGAGAGTTCTGACCTATAGACGATACTGACGACTCCCTGCAGCAGCTAATATGGCACTGTTGCCAGCAAACTTTACCATTCTCTCCATTAATGCAAGAGAACTCAACAAGCCGGAGAGAGGCTCAAGGGCACTGCGAGATTTCCATGCTAAATGGGCCTCCATTGTCCTGATCCAAGAGACGCACTTTAGGGTAAGAGAGAGACCTAAACTGACCAACCACCATTTCCCACAGGGCTACTACATTGACAACCAAGGGGGAAAATCAAGGGGCACCGCGATACTGCTTAACAAGAGAGTGCCATTCCAGGAAAAGGAGCATATCATGGATAGAGACTGCAGGTACATATTTCTTAAGGACACGATAGCGGGGCAGTTGTATACATTTGTGAACATTAATGCCCCCAACCAGCAACAATACAGGTTCCTCTTGCGCACACTGCACAAGCTACAGTCCTTTTCTGAGGGAATTCTAGTCATAGGGGGTGACTTCAATGTGACGCTTGACTTGAGATGGGATTTCTCCTCCAGCAAGACTAACACCCCGATCCAACATCTTAACATGATTAAATGCCTCCTATCCCGATACCGACTGATGGAGAGCCCATCACCCAGATGAAAAAGACTACACCTTCTTCTCCCACCCACACTGCACATACACATGACTGTATTATATTTTTAACACGCATTACCCTCTTCCCTTAGTTTTGAATGCGGACCACGGGGGGCAACATAGTCACACCATGCCCTAGTAATGATAACGTTCAACATAGAAACATAGAAACATAGAATGTGATGGCAGATAACAACCATTCGGCCCATCTAGTCTGCCCAATTTTCGAAATACTTTCATTAGTCCCGGGCCTTATCTCATAGTTAGGATAGCCTTATGCATATCCCAAGCATGCTTAAACTCCTTTACTGTGTTAGCCTCTACCACTTTAGCTGGAAGACTATTCCATGCATCCACTGCCCTCTCATTAAAGTAATACTTCCTGATTTTATTTTTAAACCTTTGCCCCTCTAATTTATATAAATGTCCTCTTGTTGTGGTAGCTTTTCGTCTTTTAAATATGGTCTCCTCCTTTACTGTGTTGATTCCCTTTATGTATTTAAATGTTTCTATCGTATCCCTCCATCTCGTCTTTCCTCCAAGCTATACATGTTACGATCCTTTACCCTTTCCTTGTAAGTTTTATCCTGGAATCCATGAACCAGTTTAGTAGCCCTTCTCTGAACTCTCTCTTAAGTATCAATATCCTTCTAAAGATATGTTCTCCAGTACTGCGTGCAATACTCCAAGTGAGGTCTCACCAGTGTTCTGTACAATGGCATGAGCACTTCCCTCTTTCTACTGATAATACCTCTCTGCTAGCATTTCCTGCTGCTCTATTACATTGTCTGCCTACCTTTAATTCATCAGAAATAATCACCCCTAAATCCCTTTCCTCAGATGTTGAGGTTAGAACTCTATCAAATATTCTGTACTCTGACCTTGGGTTTTTACATCCAAAATGCATTATCTTGCACTTATCCACATTAAATGCCAGTTGCCTAAATCATTTGCCATTTGGCTTATCCCTCCTGGAACATCAACCCTGCAATATCACTAATAAAAAATGTAAAAGAGAATGGGTCCAAGTACAGATCCCTCATGTACCCCACTCTTGACAAGCCCAAGCTTCGAATATACTCTATTGACTACAACCTTCTGTTGCCTGTCACTCAGCCACTGCCTTACCCATTCAACAATATTGGAATCCAAACTAAAAGATGGCAATTTATTGATAAGCCTTCTATGTGCAACAGTGTCAAAAGCCTTACTGAAATCTAGGTAAGTAATGGCTACTGCACCACCATGATCTATTATTTTAGTCACCCAATCAAAAAAATCAATAAGATTAGTTTGGCATGATCTCCCTGAAGTAAACCCATGTTGTCTCTGATCTTGAAATCCATGTGTTATGTGTTTTTAGACGTTCAACAATCCTATCCTTTAACATGGTTTCCATTACTTTCCCCACTACTGAAGTAAGGCTTGCTGGCCTATAGTTGCCTACTACCTTTCTTGTGAATGGGCACAACATTCGCTAACTAACAATCTTCTGGGACTACTCCTGTTAACAATGATTGGTTAAATAAATCTGTTAATGGTTTTGCTAGTACACCACTAAGCTCTTTTAATAACTTTGGGTGTATTCCATCAGGTCCCATTGAATTATTTGCCTTTACTTTTGACAGTTGAAATAGAAACTCTTCCTCCGTAAACTCACATGTAATAAATGACTCATTTGTCCTTTTTCCTAACTGAGGTCTCTTTCCTTCATTTTCCTCTGTAAATACTGAACAAAAATATTAATTGAGACAGTCAGCTAAACCTTTATCTTCTTCTACATACCTTCCTTCTTTTGTTTTTAATCTAACTAATCCTTGTTTTACTTTCCTTTTCTCATTTATGTATCTAAAAAAATGTTTCGTCCCCTTTTTTTACTGACTGTGCTATTTTCTCTTCTGTGTGTGATTTGGAAGCTCTTATAACTTGCTTAGTCTCTTTCTGACTAATCTTATAGAGCATGCTGTCTCACTCTAGTTTTTTTTTCTAATTACTAAATGCTAACTTTTTGTTTTTAACTATTTTGGCCACATCTGTGGAGTACCACAATGGTTTCTTGAGTTTTTTGCTTTTACTGACAAGCATAATGCAATTTTCTGTTGCCTTCATCAGTGCAACTTTTAAATAATCTCATTTCTCTTGGACTCCATTTAAATTGCTCCAATCTGATAATGACTCTTTTAAACATGTTCTAATTTTAGAAAAGTCTGTTTTTTTAAAGTCTAAAACTTTTGTTTTTGTGTGGTTACTCAGTCACTGTTCTTATATTAAACCACACTGACTGATGATCACTGGATCCTAAACTTTCACCTACAGTAATATCTGATACCAAATCTCTATTTGTTAACACTAAATCTAGTATGGCCTCTTTACAAGTTTGCTCCTCAACGACTTGTTTTAGAGACAATCCCAGTAGGGAGTTTAGAATATGTGTGCTCTTGGCACAAGCAGCTAATTTTGTTTTCCAATTCACATCAGGAAAATTAAAGTCACCCATAATGATAACTTCCCCCTTCATTGTAATTTTAGCTATTTCCTCAACAAGTAGATTATCTAACTCTTCTATTTGTCCTGGGGGCCTATAAATCACACCTACACGAGTTACTGTGTGATTACCAAATTCTAACGTAACCCAAACGGACTCTATGTTCGCCTCACTAACTTTTATTAGGCTAGATTTTATGCTATCCTTCACATACAGGGCCACCCCTCCCCCTTTCTTGCCTTCCCTGTCTTTTCTATTTATTTCTCCCCCCCCCCCCAGTTTAAAAACATCCTAGCAAAACCTCTGAACTGCTCACTGAGAACATTTGTTCCTTTTTGAGAAAGATGCAAACCATCTTTTTGGTACAATTTATTTCCATTCCAAACAGAGCTACCATGAGAAATAAAGCCAAATCCTTGCTCCCGATACCATTCACCAAGCCACAAGTTAAAGTCCCTAACACGCATCCACCTGTCGTTCTGAGTGTAATGCACAGGCAAAACTTCAGAGAATGACAGTGTGGAAGCAACCTGCCGTATATCATTGGCAAAAACACTAAAAACTTCCTTAACCTCTGAAACCTCATTGCAAGCCAAATCATTTGTCCCTAGATGGACACGTACATCCAATTCCCCTTCCTGCTTTGCTCGCTTAACAATATTACAAATACGTCTCCTGTCTCTGTGAGCAGTAGCTCCAGGAAGACATCTCCACACCTCTTATGATGGAATCCCCCAACAACAACTGCTTTCTATTAGGCCTCACCATAGTCTCCAAGCCTGTCTCCACAACACCACTAGTCTCAGTGCCTGAGCCTGTCTACACAACACCACTACCCTCAGTGTAGGCCCACGATAAACAAATGGAGAGTAAACAAATACTTGCTGTCCAGACCGGTCTTGACAGCCGACATAAGGTCATTTCTCAAGGAATACTTTGCAACAAACACGCCCGAGCAAACTTCACCAACTATACTGTGGGAGGCCCATAAGAGTGTGGTCGCGGGTCACTTTATTCGACAGGGCATAGCACTTAAAAAACAAACTGAAAGCCGAATGACCAAAATCATTGAAGACATCCAAAGAACAGAGGAGCTCAACAAAAGCTCTCAACACCTGACTCACCAAGCGAGACTCCTACAGCTAAGACGGGACCTGACCTCACTACTCCACTCTAAGCACCATAGGAATGTATTAAGGCACAGAGTAGGCATGTCCTTTGGGAAAATATTCGGCTCGGTTCGGCATTCCGAAATTTGGAACTTTGCCACTTCGGAACTTCAGAACTTCGGTAACTTCGGCACTTCGGAACATCGAAACTCCGGCATTTCGGCACTTCTCTCGCAGCCGCTTGGTAGATAACTCCCTAATTCCCACGGTATTAGGGAGTTATCTCTAAAAGGCAGAAAGACCTTAATTGGTTTTTCAGACAAATTTACTAATACTAAGTAAAAATTACTTAGTATTAGTAAATTTTGCCCCTACTCACTATACCGGGAGTAGGGGCATGTCTATTAAACAGTGAGCAGTGGGTGGGGGCCCTAAACTAGAATAAGGGGGGATCTAATGTCCCCCCCTTGGCCCCCACCCCTGAGCGGTGGGTGGGAGCCCTAAATAAAAATTGGGGGGAAACACCTAATGTCCTAACCCCTGGCCCCCACCCCTGAGCGGTGGGTGGGGGCCCTAAATACAAATTGGGGGGCACCTAATGTCCTCCCCCCTGGCCCCCACCCCTGAGCAGTGGGTGGAGGCCCTAAACTAGAATAAGGGGGGGACCTAATGTCCTCACCCTGGCCCTCACCCCTGAGCGGTGGGTGGGAGCCCTAAGTACAAATTTAGGATGGACTGAATGTCCTCCCCCTGGCCCCCACTTCTGAGCAGTGGGTGGGGGCCCTAAACTAGAATAAGGGGGGACCTAATGTCCTCCCCCTGGCCCTCACCCCTGAGCGGTGGGTGGGGGCCCTAAATACAAATTGGAGGGGGACCTAATGTCCTCCCCCCTTGCCCCCACCCCTGAGCGGTGGGTGGGGGCCCTAAATACAAATTGGAGGGCGACCTAATGTCCTGCCCCCTGGCCCCCACCCCTGAGCAAAAATACAAATGTAACTTCCCCCAGGTGACTAGGGGTCCCCAAACCCCTAGTCACCCCCCTCCCAAAAGAAATAAAGCCCTACCTACCCCCCTCACTCTAAAAATAATGAGGGGGGACCTTTAACTAAGTATCTGTAAAAATAAAAATAAACTTACCATTTGATGTTTTCTTTCTTCTAAAATCTTCTTTTTTCAGCCCCAAAAAGGGCCAAATAAAAAGCCATAATAACCGACGCAATTAAAAAAAAACCTGAGCGCAAAAAAAAAATCCATCTTCACCATCTTATAAAATCCATCTTATAAAGCCTTGCCCCGCCCTGCAATTAGGCTTAGAGCACTCTGATTGGTGGGTTGAAGCCATCCAATCAGAGTGCTCTGACAGGTAAATAAAGAGACTGATAGGTAAGTCTCTACATTTACCTGTCACAGCACTCTGATTGGTTGGTTTGAAATCCACCAATCAGAGTGCTCTGAGTCATTTTACACAGCGTGGGAAAGTTCTTTGGAATTTTCCCACACTGTGTAATTTGATTCATAACTCTCTGATTGGTTACTTAATCCACCAATCAGAGTGTTATGAGTCAAATTACACAGCGTCAAAGCAAGCCTGTCTCCACAACACCACTACCCTCAGTGCCTGAGCCTGTCTCCACAACACCACTACCCTCAGTGTAGGCCCACGATAAACAAGTGGAGATTAAACAAATACTTGCTGTCCAGACCGGTCTTGACAGCCGACATAAGGTAATTTCTCAAGGAACACTTTGCAACAAACACGCCCGAGCAAACTTCACCAACTATACTGTGGGAGGCCCATAAGAGTGTGGTCGGGGGTCACTTTATTCGACAGGGCACAGCACTTAAAAAACAACATGAAAGCCGAATGACCAAAATCATTGAAGACATCCAAAGAACAGAGGAGCTCAACAAAAGCTCTCAACACCTGACTCACCAAGCGAGACTCCTACAGCTAAGACGGGACCTGACCTCACTACTCCACTCGAAGCACCATAGGAATGCAGTAAGGCACAGAGTAGGCATGTGCATGGGGAAAATATTTGGCTCGGTTCGGCATTCCGAAATTCGGGACTTCGGCAATTCGGCACTTCGACACTTCAGAACTTCAGCAACTTCGACACTTCGGAACTTCGGTACTTCGGAACTTCGCCACTTTGGAACTACGGCATTTCGGGACTTCTCTTGCAGCCGCTTGGTAGATAACTCCCTAATTCCCACGGTATTAGGGAGTTATCTCCAAAAGGCTGAAAGACCTAAATTGGTCTTTCAGCCAAATTTACTAATACTAAGTAAAACTTATTTAGTATTAGTAAATTTTGCCCCTACTCGCTATACCGGGAGTAGGGGCATGTCTATTAAACAGTGAGCAGCCTGTAGCTGCTCACTGTTAAAAAAAATAAAACTAAAAAATAGGGTTCCCCCTCCCGAGCCCCTATTGCTCCCCCCTGAGCGGCGGGTGGGGGCCCTAAAGTAAAAAAAGGGGGGAGGACCTATTGTCCTCCCCACTGGCCCCCACCCCTGAATGGCGGGTGGGGGCCCTAAATAAAAATTGGGGGGGACCTAATGTCCTCCCCCCTGGCGGTGGGTGGGGGCCCTAAACTAGAATAAGGGGGGGACCTAATGTCCTCCCTCCCTGGCCCCCACGCCTGAGCGGTGGGGAGGCCTAAACTAGAATAAGGGGGGGGACCTAATGTCCTCTCCCCTGGCCCCCACCCCTGAGTGGTGGGTAGGAGCCCTAAGTACAAATTGGGGGAGGGCCCTAAACTAGAATAAGGGGGGGGGACCTAATGTCCTCACCCTGGCCCCCATCCCTGAGTGGTGGGTGGGGGCCCTAAATACAAATTGGGGGGGGACCTAATGTCCTCCCCCCCAGCCCCCACCCCTGAGCGGAGGGTGGGGGCCCTAAATACAAATTTAACCCCCCCAGGTGACTAGGGATCCCCAAACCCCTGGTCACCCCCCTCCCCCCAAAAAATTAAGCCCTGCCAATCCCCCTCACCCTAAAAATAATGAGGGGGGGGGACCTTTAACTAAGTACCTGTAAAAATAAAAATAAACTTACCATTTGATGTTTTCTTTCTTCTAAAATCTTCTTTTTTCAGCCTCAAAAAAGGCCAACTAAAAAGCCATAATAACCGATGCAATTGCGAGGCGGCTGGGGGCCCTAAAGTGAAAAAAGGGGGGAGGACCTATTGTCCTCCCCATCGGCCCCCACCCCTGAGCGGTGGGTGGGAGCCCTAAATAAAAATTGAGGGGGGACCTAATGTCCTCGCCTCTGGCCCCCACCCCTGAGCGGTGGGTGGGAGCCCTAAACAAGAATAAGGGGGAGGGACCTAATGTCCTCCCTCCTGGCCCCACCCCTGAGCGGTGGGTGGGGGCCCTAAACTAGAATAAGGGAGGGATCTAATGTCCTCCCCCCTGGCCCCCACCCCTAAATACAAATTTAACCCCCCTCCCCCCACCTAGGTGACTAGGGGTCCCCACACCCCTAGTCACCCCCCCAAAAAAATGAACCCCTACCTACCCCCCTCACCCTAAAAATAATGAGGGGGTACCTTTAACTAAGTACCTGTAAAAATAAACTTACCATTTGATGTTTTCTTTCTTCCCTGCCCCGCCCTGCAATTACGTTCAGAGCACTCTGATTGGTGGGTTTAAGCCATCCAATCAGAGTGCTCTGACAGGTAACTGAAGAGACTGACAGGTAAGTCTCTACATTTACCTGTCACAGAATTCTGATTGGTTGGTTAGAAATCCACCAATCAGAGTGCTCTGTGTCATTTTACACAGCGTGGGAAAGTTCTTTGGAATATTCCCACGCTGTGTAATGTGACTCATAACACTCTGATTGGTGGATTAGGCTCCTCACTGTTTAATAGACATACCCCTACTCGCGATATAGCGAGTAGGGGTATAATTTACAAATAGTAAGTAATCTTTACTTAGTATTAGTAAATTTGGCTGAAAGACCAATTCAGGTCTTTAAGCCTTTTAGAAGATAGCTCCCTAATACCGTGGGAATTAGGGAGTTATCTACTTATTCATTCCTGTCATTACATTGTCTGGCCAAGTAACTTAAATTTTATATGAATGTGTGTTACTTGATTGTTGTAAGTGTTGCAAATGCTTACAGCTGAATCCTGGCTTTGTTTGTATACTTTTTATTTAAAATTGTATACAATGTAACATTCTTTCACTGGGTAAGTATATTAGTACTTAGGCCAGGGGTAGGCAACCTACGGCACTAGTGCCATGCACGGCACTCGAGGTGTCTTTGCACGGCACTCGAGGCTGCTAGAGCCAAACAGTCTCTGGCCTATCAGGAGTCCCAGTAAAACTTCAGATATCTGCTAATCCGAAAAGGTGGTGAAGGACAATCCTCAATTTATGCATTGCAGCACGTAGAGGTAGTGATCTCAGATGTGAATAGGAATCCACACTGTAGTAGAGCAGCTCACAGTTGCTGTTGCAGCTCCTATCCTTGACATGTACCTGGACGGCCTAGTCCCCACTGGAAGCCACCCACACTGCTAGATATACACAGAAATGCAGAATAACCCTCCCCTCATACAAATAATATGGACAGCCCACACACAAACATGCACATAATCCGCACAAACGAAACACCACTAACAATTCACATACATGCACACAACCCCACATGCAATACCCCAAACAGCCCCCACACACTACCAAACACACACTGTGACATATCCATCCACACACACACACATAATTCCACAAGCAGCCCCCATGCACAGCCCACATTCATATGTATCATACACAATACCATAAACTACTCATGAAC